GCCCCATAATAGTCCAGCCGACACAAAATCGGGCGATGTGCGAGATCGAATACCCAAATATAGACCAGGACGATAAGTTCCCCACCGGAAGGAGTTCGCATGTGTCAATTGATCAATTGACTGTGCGCTTAAGGGCGCGGATGAGGGCGCCGACAGGTCCATGGGTCCGTACAGCGTCGTGTATGTGGAGATGATCATGGCCAGCAGTGACGCGCCAATGTAGACCATCTTGAAGCGCCGCGCGCTCTCCTCCGCCGTCGGGACCGCCATCTGAATATCAACTGTGTCCACAAGTAATAAACACAACTTAAAATCACGCCTCGGATTCGCTCTTTGTGTCCCGAAATAAATGACGCAGTCCATCGAAGGCGGGTTTAAAGCTGGACATTTTGCATCGGACAAAGAAGTCATACGCGTTTGGATTGGTGGAAATGGGAGCAACAAATGCAGTTGGCGTTGTTTTCATCTTCATTTTCGATCCTCCACGTGGCGAGTTCGAGTGACAATGGCTCGGGGAACGATGCGCTTGCTGGCGCTGCTGGCGACGCTACTGGTGGTGGCGAGCTGGTCTACAGTGGACGCTGAAGCCAAGAAGAGTCGCAAGGGAAAGGATTCTCCGCTCAAGGGCAGCGAGAAGCTGGCCCAGCTGCAGGGCCGCGTGCGCGACGGTGTGATCCCGTTTACGAGCGAACTCTACGGACGCTACGCCGTGCGACCGGACCGTCCGTACCACTTGGTGCTTCTGTTTACAGCTACGGCCGCAAAGTACAAGTGCGAGACGTGTGCACAGGTATCTCCCGAGTTTGAGATTCTGGGCGAGAGCTACGAGGCTGCCAAGCAGGTCAAAGTGGACACTCGTGATGGGACACGAGGTCTTTTTCGTATCGTGGACTTTGAGACCAACCAGGAGGCTTTTCGGCATGTACGAGTCACATCTGCCCCCTCACGTGGTGTACGTGGCGCCCCGACCGCTCCATCGACGCCGGCGAACGCATGCCTAAGAAGGCCAAAGTGGGAGCCCCACAACCCTCTACAACGCTACTCGCAAGGAAAGAGGCCGAGTCTATGGTCACTTTTTGTGAAGCAACGAACGCCTTTGAGTCGCTATCCACAGATCCAAGACGTTCTTCTACGTCCTGCTCGTCGTGGCGCTGGGCTCCACCGCATTCACGGCCAAAGCTGGGCCTGTCCCCACCTGGACTAACGTGAATGGCCAAACTGCGTCCGAAAACAGGGTTGGGATGACATCTTCGTGGCTGGTTTCTAGGGTCTCCTCGAGTCTCGGGGAATGTGTGTACTGGATTCTTCCGTGAAACCCGCGGCCCTAAACAAG